GTCATACTACTATTAATGTTGAGTTAGATTTCTATTCAGTTTCGCAATGTAGAAGTTAGCGACCCCAAAACAATTTGAAGTTATCAGTTACATATCCAAAGACAACATTTTGTTGTATACACTAAGTTACTGGCTGTATTTAAATATATAACAGATTACAAAGTCTCAGTTATTAAGAGCAAAATTAAGTCTTGCACTAGTAAAAGTTGGTATGGCATATGTTTGTACCAACTCTGAGAAACACAAGAATAGTTGTGGGAAAAAAAATTGTTGGAAAAGCCACTGTAATTTCTCAATGTAAGAACCATAGCATTCAATTACTTCATAGTAAGATCTGAAGCAGTCACACACTCCACTGGCAATTCCAAAATCTACACCGACAAAGAAACTCACTTGATGAATACCTTGTCAAAGAAATCAACGTCAGATTAATTTATATAAACCTCTTCTTCCCCTACTTGTTTCCTGTCCTCTACCCCATACCATGTAACTATATTGCAGGGGTGGCCAAACTGTGGCCCACAAGCCACATGTGGCTCTTTTACCATTGAAGTGCGGTGTGCAGAGCCTTCCACGCCCCTCCCAAATCTCCACCTACTGGACTGGGGGGGGGGGGCGGCACCTTGGTACCTCTGCCTTGCAGCAGTGTGGTGGAGTAGAGGCTTCTGCCCAGCGAAGAAGGGGGTCTCGAGGCTCCAGCCGGACTTGGGGCTTCAGCAGGAGCGGGGCTGAAGCCAGACACCTCTGCGGGTGCACTCCTGCTCTCCAACTTCTGAAGATTGTTGTATGCGGCTCGGAGGGTCAGTAAATTTGGCCACCCCTGATATATTGCTTCTCAAACTTCATGCTCAATGATGCTTTATACAAATGTTAAATAGTTAGATTTAAACCATGAACCAATACCCTATACAGTAACTCCCCACTTAAAGTCCTCCTGGTTACGTTGTTGATCAATTAGGGAACATGCTCATTTAAAGTTGTGCAATGCTCCCTTATAACGTTGTTTGGCAGCCGCCTGCTTTTCCACTGCTTGCAAGAGCAGCCCGTTGCAGCTAGCTGGTGGGGGCTTGAAACCAGGGTGGACCGGCAGCCCCCATATCAGCTCCCCGCTCCCTTAAGTGCCCTGTGCAGCAGCCACCCAGCAGGCTACTAACTGCCAGCAGTTCAGCTGTTCCTCCCCCCACTGCCATGTGCTACTCCTGCCCTCCACCTTGGAGCTGCTCTCCGGAGCCTCCTGCTTGCTGTGCAGGGAGAGAAGGAAGAGGGGGGCTAATGTCAGGGTGCCTTGTAGAGTATGAGGCTACATTAACAACGAGTTAACCCTTGAGGGCTCAGCCAATTGCTAGTTCATCATTTAGCAGTAAGGCATCCCCTAGGAAATATCCCACCCTTTGACTTCACCACATCAACCAAGCTTCACAATCATCATCACTGTGTACCAGTATTAAATTGTTTGTTTTAAACTTATACTGTGTGTGCGTGTAGTCTTTTGTCTGGTGAAAAAAATTTCCCTGGAACCTAACTCCCCCTATTTACATTAATTCTTATGGGGAAATTGGATTAGCTTAATGTCGTTTCGCTTAAAGTCACATTTTTCAAGAACATAACTACAACGTTAAGCGAGGAGTTACTGTATTTAAAATTTGGAAATACACCTTGTCCCTCTTCAAAGGGCATGTATTTCTCAATGGGTCCCCTGGCAATGATGATTAGTTAGTAGTGGGAAATAAGACACTGTTGTGTTTGTTTTAAGAAAGTAACAAAGCTGCTCCATTCTGTTCCAGGAAAGATTAAGCCCCAAAACTGCTAGAGGTAAGGTCTGCCCTGACTTCCACCCCAATGCACTGAATTACATAGAAACTTGCACCCATGCTAACCTAAGTGTCGCTTTTCAGCAAGATCACCACCACCAACTGTAGGCAACTCAAATATTTATGAAAGAAAAAACTATTTACAAACATTACAAATATGTTAAAAGATACTTTGACATCTGAATTTTCATAATGGTAAAATGAACATGGATAGAGTTTTATTTGTAGTCTTAAAAGCACATGATATTTAAAGTCAATTCTAATTTTTGGTTTAAACTTCAAAGTCTATACTAATTTCAACTTCTGTATAACAATTTCAGGAACTCAGACTGTTTCAGATTTCATCTACTTGTGAGACTAATACCAAAATGGTCAGACTTTGGTGCCTAAACAAATGTCCTGATGTTCAACAGTACTGCAGTTCCTACTGACTTCACTGGCTCCGCTGTCCATGGGCAATGCTAGGTGGGAAGCCAAGTCTTCCTCCATTAGTTGCTGAGAAAAGGAAGGATAGCTGAAATCTTTCCAAGGTGCTTCCCCAGTCAGAGGGCTCTATCTTTCACACCTCATGTTGCAAATGTCAACTTTATTTCCCCACCACGTCACACCTTTCTTTTCTGGGAGCTGGAGTGAGGAGAGGAGCTTCCTCTATCTATGTCTCCAAAGACACCTAGTTGCTAATGCAATGTAAGGAGTCTCCACCACTTTCATTCCTGTTGAGCAGCCATTGTCCAGTGCCTGTCTCTGCTGCTTCTTGGTTTTCTCAGGTAGCAGCAAGAAACTGACCCAAGACTTGTCATTTACATGCAGCTACCCAGAGTTCTGATTAGAAGTAGTCAAAAGTGACAATACTTTGGTTACCATTTACTCTGCTGCATCTTGGAACTGTGCTGCAGATTTAGACAGACCCCCCTGCTTCTGTTTACACTGTTCACAACTGGAAGGTGCCCTATGCAAGCTTACAGGCCCAACCTTTTTAAAATAAAAGGACAGATTTTGCAGAGGTAAACAAAATGTTGTTAAAGCTAATGTTAAAATTATATGATACACAAGTTGAGAACAGAGTGTCTGTACATCTGGGTATAGCGCTTAGATTATCCACAAATACAAAGTTTGTTGAAAAACTCTTAAAATACATATAGTACATAATCGGCAATAACCCAAATTTAGGTAAATTTGATTATACAGTCTAGATATTGGAACCCGATCGAGTACATCATTCATGAAAAGTTATACAGAGAATTGGTTTAGAAAGAAAATATAGGAATGAGTGTATATCGCCCCTCAGTAATTGAGCACTTAGGATGGGTTGACCCTTTGTAGATATAATCCATCAGAGAAATATTTTAGTTACTTTCCGATTTTGCTTTTCATCAGCACTGTACGTTCCTGGGAAAAGTTCTTACTCAAGACAGGTAAATGAATTTTTCAAACTCTGATCAAGAGGTTTTGTTTTGTTTAATTTGAATTATTAAGTATTATCTATGTTGGAGTTCTCTGTAGCATTCAAGATTCTATACAGGATGAACACTTTCAATGTATTGTTTTTCAAAACATGCATTTTACAGAATTTTACACTGAAATAAGCTCCTTCTGTTGTTGCTGCATGGACACTTATTATAATATCATATTGTCTTCATAATTCCTGAATCAACTGGGCTAGAGAAATTTAAGGGATACAGCAGCAACTAACATAACTAAGCTCCGTGTAACTGGAAAGCTTGGCACTTTCACCAACAGATGTTGGTCCAGTAAAAGATATTACCTCAGCCACCTTGTCTCTTTATAGCACCATATGAAACCATTGCACTCAATTATCAAGGGGATCAATATGGGTAAAATGTCACATGTATGAACCTCTCATCCAGCACTGTGAGCTCTACTAGGACTATGCACATGTGTGATATTACATACGTGAAATGCAAGGCCAACATCACATCTGTGCCAGTGGTGTCAAATGAAACTGAGAAATTATAAGTCCAAAAGAGCTAACCAAGTACAGACAGAAAGCTTGTTCACTGTAAAGCTAAAAAGATCAGATCCTTACAATCTGTACAGTTATACAACTGCCAGAAAAGCATTCATATACTTTCACCTGACAAGTACTTTCCTTTCATTAAGGTTAGCTTTGTTGTGTTACAGGAGTTTACTGTAAACATTTATTAATTTACTTCTATGATTAGGTTTGTTGATCCAGTTTCAAGTTGTTCATCTCTCTTACGCTCTAAAAATAAGTCTTCCTTTATAGCCGCATTTTTCATACTGCATTTACATTTAAGTAAGAAGCCTACAGATTAAGAATGACAGTTTTCAAACGTGGTTGCCTCAAGTGAAGATCTCAAATCCAAATTTGGACAGCTAACTAAAAGCAGTTGGATTTTTAAAAAGTGCTAAACAGCGATATTTTCCACTGACTGCAATGCTGAGCACCTTTTTTAAAAATCAGACTGCTTTTTACAGGGGAATTTAAGACACACATGGACGCCTCTCTTAGACACTCAAGTTGGTAATTACTGGCCTAAGCACACCTAGGGATATGTCCAGCTCTACTCATTATTAATCCTCTGTCATTTGGAATCTCCCTGTTTGCTGAGCCAGACTCTAAGCTTTTCCTCCACTTCAACTCCAGCAAAAAAGGGGAATAAATGAAATCTGAGTAACAGATTTAAACCATCTGTTCCTACCTCCCCGCCCTCCAAGAGCTAAGCTGACACGTAAACACACGGAGGAGGCTGAAGGTGACCAGGCAGCGAGAGGGAGGCAGATACACACACCCGCTGCCGGGCGCTTCCCCGCACCCGCTGCCCCGCCTTCACCTCCCGACCCGTAGGAGCCCGGTGTGCAGCGAGGCGCGCCCCGGGCCCAGCCACAGGAGCCACGGACTCAAGAGAGCGGCAACTTCGAAATTGCTGCCGCCGCCGCCCCCTCCCGCGGGGCACCAGGGGCCGAGACTGCTGCTGCTGCAGCGCGCCCCCTCCCCCCCGCTACGGGCGCCCTGTGCGGGACTGGCTCGAAGGGCGGGCGCCGCCGGGCACAACGGGGAGCGGCACCCCCGTGCCCGGCACACCCAGGAGCCGGCCCGCCGGCTCCGCCCCAGCCTGTTGCGCGGCCCCAGCCCCCGCGCCGGCGAGGGGGCAGCCGGCGGGCCGGGCCGGGCCAGCCCCAGCTCCGCGGGCGGGCAGCGCTGACCTTTCCTGGCCCCCTGGCTGGGGCTGCTGCCGGCGCCTTTGGAGGGGTTCCTGCGCGGAGCCATGTCACCGCCTGTCAGGGAGCGGAAGGGCAGGAGCGGGCTCCCAGGAACTGAGCGAGGACACAGCCGCAGCAGCCGCCTGACCCTGCGTGTGTAGCCACTGCAGTCAAAGGACCCGCCCCGGCTGCCGACGGACAGCTACCTCCACCAATCCTAGCGCTCTCGTCGGCATCACTTGCGTCTTATTGGTGTAGACACGAGGACTGGGCGGGACACGTTGCCCTTTCCTCCCCTTCCCTCGCCGAACCGGCCGCTTGGAACGTGGCAACATGGAGCGAGCGCTCTCGCGAGGATTCAGCTTCCGACCCAGTGGGAGAAGTGCGCGCGCTGTCCGCGAGGGGGACGTGGGCGGGGCTGCTTAGAGGGGTGGGGGGTCCGCAGGCCTGGGGTGGCTGCGCGCGCCGTAGAGTTGTTTACCCAGGGCTTGTGGCGTGACCCTGGTCTCAGCTGCATGCTCACCTACTTGTGCTGCTCAGTGAGCCTCTGTGCCTCAGTTTCCCTATCTCTAGGAAAGGGACAGTGCTCAGTTACCTGTGCAAAAAAGCAGCGTGCAATCATGACGTGAGGAGTACTAGAACTGGCTAATGCTGTCTGCTACCGTACACCCAGCTGTGGTTTGTGCCAGAGGTTCTGAGCTCCATTCAGGTGGTCTGCGGATAGCTCCCTCTAAGGTGCATGCCTGGGCAGCCGCACATGAGAGAATGCAGGGTCATCCACCTAATTAGTGGAGCTGCACAGGTATGGCTTCCCTAATTAGGTGCCTGAACCCTGGAGAAGATGCACATGTGAGGTGGGGTGGTGGCCTTGAGGAGAATAGGGGGGTAGGTGGGAGGGAGCAGTGGGGTAAGAAGAGGAGGTGGGGGGATTTTGGGATGTGCAGCGCTGCAGTGGCGAAAGAAAGAGGACTTTCCCCAGCTCTAGGGCTGTAGCTGCTGGGGAGAGACAGCCCTCCTTTCCAGCCTCATCTCTGGGGCTGCTGTGGTGGGGGAGAGCCCCCTCTCCTTCCCAGCTCAAGTTTGGAGACTGCTGAGTTGGGGGAGAGAGGGCACATCCACCACATTAGAAAGGTAAGACTACTGATGTTAAAATGAGTTGTGTGCTTTTATTTGTAGAACAAAAAAAATTATTAAGGTTTTTTTTTTATATCGCACTTTTATCCAAAGCGCTTTACAATAGTTTAGTTAATGGTATAAACAACATTTGGAAAGATCATTAAGTGGTCCACCAAGATCTTCAGCAATTTTCAATTGGTCTGCAGGAAAAAAAGTTTGAGAACCACTGGTCTACACTACAGAGTTAGGTCCATACAAGCTAGCTTACATTGAACCAACTATGGAAAGTATCTACACTTAAATTTTGCTCTTGTTGATGTAATTGCCCCATTACCCTGACTTCATGCAACTCGTGGCGGTAGAGTTATTGAGTCAAGGTCAATGTAGTTAGGTTGACACAGTGTCAGTGTAGACCAATGGTTTTCAAATTGCGGGTTGTGACCCAGTACTGGGTCGCGGAATGCAAGGCACTGAGTCACGGAACTCTGGTCAGCACCGCCGACCAGGCCATTAAAAGTCCCGTCGGCAGTGCTGCTTGGTTAAGGCAGGCTAGTTCCTACCTGTTCTGACACTGTGCCACTCCCCGGAAGCGGCCAGCAACTGGCCCCTAGGCAGGGAAGCTATGGGGCTCCACATGCTGTGCCCCCTGCTCCCCCCGAGAACTGCCTCAGCACTCCCATTGGCTGGTTTCCGGCCAATGGGAGTGGGGTAGGGCGGTGCCTGTGAGTGAGAGCCCTGTGGAGCCATTTGCATACCTCTGCCTAGGAGCCGGACCTGCTGCTGGCTACTTCCGGGGTGCAGCGCCGTCCACGGTGCCTGGAGAAGCAGGAAGCCTGCCTCTGCACCACCGCTACTCTGCTGACTGGGAACCACCCAAGGTAAGCCTGTGCCCCAATCCCCTGCCCCAGCCCTGAGCCCCCCCCCCCCAACCCGGAACCCTTTCCTGCACCCGAAACCCCTCATCCCCAGCCTAGAGCCTGCACCCCCAGTCCAAAGCCCTGACCCCCTCCTGCACCCCAACCCCCTGCTCCAGCCCAGAGCCCCCTCCCACACCCTAAACCCCTCATTTCTGGCCCCACCCCGCAGCCCTCACCCCAACCCTTTGCCTCTCCCAAACCCTCATCCCCCAGCTTCATTGGCTCACGGACATCAACAATTTTTTTTCAACTGGGTCACCAGAAAAAAAAAGTTTGAAAACCACTGATGTAGACATTGTGTTGCTTAAGTCCACGGCTGTAACCAGGGTGGGGCAAGTGGGGCAGTTACTCAGGGCATAAAGCTATGGGGGTGGAAAAGTGGGGTGGGAAAATGATGGAAAAAAATGGTACGGGGTGCAAATATGCTTGCTTACCCTGGGTGCTACAATGCCGATTTACTGTTACTTACTTTCGCAAGCTGCCCCATGCTGATAGTGCAATTGACACAGGTGCTCCTGGTGAGGATACACACAGCTGACATAAGAAGGAAAGTGTTGATATGCATTAGCAATGTAATTTCTGTCGCAGCTGTATACTGACATAGGTTGACTTAAGGCCATATCTACACTACAAACTTATGAGGTGTGGCTCAGAGCACCCTTACCGCTGAGGATGTGCGAATGGTAGGAGTTTGTGCTACTGGAGCAGGAGTCTAAAATGCCATTCCTTGTGCCACTGGCTAGGATATGCAGCATAGTAAAGATCCAGGTAATGGCTATAGATGTGTGACAATATTAGTTCTTTCTTCACAGTGGGGATCTAGAGTATAGTGGAGAAAGAGGCTCCTTTTTTCACAGAGGTACTCTAGAAATAATTAGCTTTCCTTTGATCTGCCACTTTTTCAGTCAGTGAGCTGCATTCAGAGAAGCTCACCCAATAGTTGTCCTCCAGTCCACAGAGTTATACATCAAATCATCAATTTTCAGCTCTTCAGTGCACGGATTTGTGTTGTTTATCTGTACTATGAGGCTCCAAGCACATTTTTTGGATTCTATGAAATAAATACTAATAGAACATGTCGCACAGTTATCCAACATATGTATAGAAAATAATGCTTTTTTCTTTTTAAATTAGAAATTAAGCAAGATTGTGCAGCATGATAAATGTCCAATATAAGTATATAATAATAATTATACAGATGTTTTCTTCAAGCACTTTATAAAGGAGATTAGTATCAATACCCCCATTTTACAGATAGGAAACTGAGGCACCGTGGGTACTATGATTTGCCCAAGTAGGCCAGTAGCTGAGCTGGGAATAGAACTTCCGATTTTCAGTTCACTACTCTTTCCCTTAGGCCGCATGGCTATAGATATGAACCTAAATCCACCAAGTCAATGGAAGTTTTATCATAGACTTCAGTGAGAACAAAAATAAACCCTTTATGCAAAAAAAGACAACTAAATGCAGGCTATAAACATACATTCTTCAAGTGCTTTAGATTTTTTTGAAGCGTTTTGTTTTGTTTCTTAAACTGGTTTGTCCAACTTGCTATTAATTTACTCTTAGCTGTGGATATTGGAGCCCCCAAACTATGGGAGACAAGTAGTCCACAAGCAGTCTATCAAGTAACACCCTTGGTCAATGTAAAGGAGCATTTTAAAGTATTGATCTATCACCAAATTAACTCTGAAATAGTTTGTAAAAGTAATTCAAACAGCAGAGGAAAAAAATCCCTCCAGTAGCCAATAATAAAATAGATCTGTATTTTTTTTAATGGAAATTCCTTATCTTAATGTGAGATTTTCTTTTTGGTCAGTTATTGATCTGGAGAAAAACATACTTGGATAACAGACTCATAGGCGCCAACTCCGTGGGTGCTCCAGAGTTGTTTCTTGGTGTGTAGGTCTGCTCTGGGATGGAGCGGGAAGAGTGGGAACGCAGTGCGCTCGGGGAAGGGGGTGGAAAGAGGCAGGGCAGAGGTAGGGCAGTGGCTTGGAGGAATGGGTGGAGTGGGAGTGGGGGTGGGGCCTGGGCAGAGGAGGGGGGTTGAGCACCCCCCAGGTAAAGAGGAAGTCAGTGTTTATGAACAGACTGGCATAAAAACAAACCAACACCCCCCCACGCGCACACACACATATTTGGGCTAAGACCATGTGTGACCCGGTGTGCCTAGGGCAGCCCTCACTGGAAATGCCAGGGTCAGGGCAGGCTGCAAAGGAAGAGCAGATACTCCCAAGACTGCTGGGTAACACTGTAGTTAAATTCCCCAACCATTCACAAACTGTACTTCTGATTCCACACACTGGTTATCAAGAAGCAAAAAAAGAAATCACACAGCCCCCTTGATTGCAGTAGAGTTCTCTGGCGCCCAGTCAGCACATAAGTCCAGTAAAGTGAGAAGTTATTTTAAAAACTCTGCTTACATATACAAAATGTTCTTCTGACCCCAAAGGGTCAGCCACATTACCAGGTCAGTATAGGTTTGGATCTTACCCAAAATACTAGGCTGCCAGCCAATCCTTTAGAGACTAAAACTAAGGTTTATTATAAATGTAACCCTTTTGCCCGTCAGAGTTGGCAGCAACAAGGGCCAGGTTCAATATCTAGGGGATCCATTCCAACAACACAATGCAAAACCGGCTTGAGCCCCCACCCAGTGACCTGGGACAAATATATATCACCCTCGCTCGGCGCCTCCAAGAGGCAATATTTCCCCTCTCGCAAGCACAGAGTCTGAGTGTGGCAAAAAGCCTTTTAATAACGGAGAGAAACAATGTGGCATTATGTTGGGGAAACACGACCAACAGGATTCATAACACAACCCATGAGCAAAACCCCACCCCAAGCAAATTAGGTAGTTTCCTTTCCCTTTGGTTCTTGAGTCTAGCAACCCGAAATCACCCAAAGTCCCAAAAGTCCAGTGACCCAAAAGTCTCTGTCCCCAGTCAGGGCAGCCCCAGAGTTTGAAAGTTTATCTGCAGAGCTTTACCTCCCAACATGGGTGGAGATTGGCGGGGGAAGGGGGGGGGGGGGCGGGAGGAAGAGAGGTAAGGGGCACCTTACAGGATCTGAGGCTGACTGCCCCGGAGCTCCATAGGGCTCCGCTCCACCAGTCCGCATCCACAAGCAGCTCCCATCATCCCACAAACTGCTCCA